GCAAAGCAGAGGGACCGCGGTTCAATCCCCCAGCACCACATGCCAGCCAGCCCCGCCCCCTGGTGGGCTGAGCTGGCCACACACACACACACACCCATAAATAAATAAATTAATTAAAAAAAAAAAAGAAGCAATGTGTGCCTTTTCGGCGTTACAATGGTGGAGCTGGTAGATATGCCAAAGCCAAACAGTGGGGCTGGACGCAGGGTTCGTGGCCCGGGGGTGGACGCAGGGTTCGTGGCCCAAAAAGAGTGCTGTATTTTTGCTGCGTATGCTTAAAAATGCAGAGAGTAATGCTGAACTTAAGGATTTAGGTATATTCTCTGGTTATTGAACATATCCAGGTGAACAAAGCACCCAAGACGCGCCGCCGTACTTACAGAGCTCGTGGCTGGATTAACCCATCCCTGAGCTCCCCCTGCCATATTGAGATGATCCTTACTGAAAAGGAACAAATTGTTCCCAAACCAGAGGAGGAAGTTGCGCAGAAGAAAAAGATAACCCAGAAGAAACTGAAGAAGCAAAAACTTATCGCACAGGAATAAATTAAGCATAAAATAAGTGCAAATAAAATTAATGTTGTCTATTAGTAAAAATAATAATAATGATGAAGTCACTTCCTGGGACATCTTTTCCCTGGCTCTGCCCCTGCTGGGGCCTGTCCCCTCCTCTGTCCCCCGCACCCCAGGCTCTCAACACAGGGGCCAACTGCTGGCTCATATGCTGCCCTTGCCAGACTCCCAGGATGGGAGCAGTGTGCATGTCCTGTTCTCCCCAGACCTCGGCCTCTGACAGCTCACCCAGCACACAGTAGGTCCCAAAGCCTGGGCACTGATGGTCCCAGGAAGTGGAGGGAGAGACTGAGGTGGCCAGCACACTCCCCCGGGGACCAGGCAGATTCCTTTACCACTATGTGCTTCACTTACCCTTCTGTAAAATGGGAGTGAACTGTATGAAAGGACAGCGTGTGACTCAGGTAGGGACCCTGTGTGCCTTTGTGGTTGTGGTTGTTCATGTTACAGGTGGGTACACCCGGAAGCCCAGGGAGGGGGCCAGGTGCGGTCTCAAGGTTGGAAAGGGGGAGCGGGTCGTGGACTTCATTAGGGTTCTGGCCATCGCTATTAGCTTCTTCACGTCCTTCCCAGTTTGTGTTCTGCCCCACTTGCTCTGTATGCCAGCCCCAACTGTTGTTCTCCGGGGTGACCCAATTAGTAATTCCGGCCTATCATCAGATAGCTGGTGCTGATGCACACGCTCGCAGATGCAACTGCGCCCACATCCGACCCAGCACACACAGTGGCATGGCCCGGGGGTGCAACCAGATGACTTCTTTTTTTTATTTTTATTATTATTTTTTTTTTTTTGCGGAACCGGGGATTGAACTCAGATCCTTGTGTTTGCCAGTCAAGCACTTATCCTACTGAGCCATCTCCCCGGCCCCCGCAACCAGATGCCTTCTGCTCGTGCATCTTACAGACTCCCGGCGCGCACGCCGCCAAATCCGCACATACACCTCACCCATGAACGGTAGCATTGCAAGGCTGTTCTTTTTGCGCCTCAAGTTCTTTTCCACTTCAAGAATCTTGGAAGTCGTCCGTCTTAGTGCATGGTGAACATATTTTTTTTTGGTTTGTTTGTTTCAATGGTTGTGCAGTTTTCCAAAGTATGGGTGCCACACCCCTATTGCCACTACCTTTGTCAGTGTAAGAAGTGCGGGAACCCAGACGTCTCCATGAAGATGCTGAGCTGGAGTCCAGAGACTTGATTCCAGCCTCGCCTGTACCTAGAATTCGCTGTTGCCCCAGGCTGCATCTTCTCCAGGAGCACGACCGTGGGAAAGGGTTGTGGGCGCAGAGAGGGTGAGGCTGGCAGCTTCCCGGGTCGGAGCGCGGGTCAGTTGGCAGCGCGCGCAGCCGATCCTGCTCGTTGGCGCCTCAGTCTTTAGTGACAGCTATTCGCATACCGGAGACACCCACGCATCAAGCGCTTTGGAGCAGCGATGGTCGGAACCTTTTAGCAAATCTCTCCGAACTAGCACCCGACTTCGTGTCAGCCACGCTGTGGCTCAATTCTATCCATCCCCCTGCCTCTCGTTTACTTCACAGCTACTCCCTTAGCGGTCTCCCATTAGGTCGCAGTAGTTCCTGCCCCTTTAAGAGGGCGGAGCCCCGCCTCCCCTGCTTCCCGCCCAAAGCGATCAGGCGCAAGCGCACTGGGGAGAGTCAGGCGAGGCCGCCAAGAACCTTTACAAACATGGCGACTCCCTGGGAACCGCGTTCGCTCCCGCCGCTGACGTCACTTCCGGGGCGGAGGAGGCTGAGTGGTGCAGTGAGGGACAAACAAAAGGAGGCGCCGGTAGAGCGCGGTGGTAAGCTGCGAGACTGGGCGGCCCAGGCTGGGGCTGCCTGCCGCGCTGCCGGCCGCGGCGTGCCGAGGTGAGTGGGGCGGGTGGGGAAAGAGGCGAGAGCTGTCACCTCTGGGCTCCCATTTGGAGGCGTCCCGCCGGCCGCCTGGCCCCGCGCGTTCGGAGAGCTCGGGCTGCGTCCGCAGGGCTGTACCCCGGACTCCCGCGGCCGCCCCGTGCGGCTTCCCCGGCTGACTCCGCCAGGCGCCGGGTCCCGCGGCCCCACCCTCCCGCCGGTGTCGGGGCGCGCGAGCCCCCTCCAGGCACCCCGTTCCTCCTGTGTCCTCCTAACCGGAGTTTCCGCCAGGCTCCCCTGGTCCCCTTGTCATCTCCTGGGTCCCCGATCACCTCCGCTTCACACACACACACTCCCCCTACTTCCCAGAGGTCCCATCCCTAGGCGCTCTTCTTGCCGGCTTCTTTCCCGTTTTCATAAACTCCCCCAGGGTCTCTTTTCTTAGGTCCCCACCCCCGTCCTCTATCCTTGGAATAGTCTATCTCTTGATCTGATGGGAACCGTGCCCTGTCACCGGGGCAGGATCCCTGGCAAGGGTCTTGGGACCTGCTGATTGGGCTTCTGGAGATGACCGGTTTGGAGTCTGAGACCCTATCCCCTGGCCTGTCCCTTGCATCCACAGAGGCCGGAGATGCAGATCTAGTGAGGTCACTGCCTGGGTTAGCTGTCTAGGGGAGCTGGAGGTCCATCCAGCACGCTGGCCCCAGGCTGAAGGACTGTAGCTTGAGGATTGTGGGGTTTGTGGTGATTCTGCTGCTTTAGATACCGCCCCTTCTCCTTGGCCTGGACTGGATCGAACAGAGATTGGGCTGGTTCTCCGCGGATGTGTTGCCTTTTTTGGGAAGAGATGTGGTTGGTGATTGTGTGGCAGCCTCTTCCTGACGGGGACTGAGCTGGCAGGGTGGGGTGGGTCTGGGCGGGTTGCACTTCCACTCCTCTTCCTCCCCTGTCCAACCTAGGGTGCCTTTGAGGATGAGGTAGGAGGCAGACCATGATGAAGGGAGGATGCTGGGGGCGAAGACGTAGAGGAGGGGTTTGGAAGAGCTGAAAGTTTGGAAGACCGCTTCCTGCTTTCCTGTTAGTACCTGGAACTCTTATCTTACTATATTCTGCTCCCTGGGCAAAGTGGCAAATGGACAGGTACTGCGGAAAGGAGAGAGGTCAGCTGGGGGTGCTCCTTCTTGTGCAAAGAAGGTGGGAGTGTGTTCAGAGGCCCCAGGCCATGCCTCTGGCTCAGTCTTTTGGTGTTGCCTCTGTGAAGGTGGAGTGTCCTGTGGCTGGAGGGGTGGTGAGGACAGATGGTTGGAGGACAGATGACTTGTGCTGGAGGACTGTGGCTGGACTCTGTCTTCAGGCCTCAGAGCTTGTTTGGGATTGGGGCAGGGTCTGATGCCTTGGGCCAGGGATCAGGGAACCAAGAATGTTCGTGACTTGTCTGGCCCCAGAACTTCACCAGATGCATTTGTTCTCTATTTCCTGGACACGCCTGCTGGGAAAGTTTGCCTTGCAACCCTGAGTGGCCTTTCTGGAAATTGGGGCTCCTGAGGAATGTCTCTGTGGGTCACGAGTCAAAGAGGTGGCTGGGCTTGGGTTGCTGCTTGATGTGGCCTGCACCTCACCCATAGCAGCTGAGGGGAAGATGTCAGCCTGGCTTCTGACTCTTGAGTGGAAGTCATGTCAAGTTTTCATATGGAAACACTGAGGCCCAGGCTGACAGGTGGAGACTGCATGGGGACTCACGTGGGATATATGTGGTGGAGCCAAGTGCCTGGAGCCCAGCCTCGCCTTCCAGGCGGACTCCTGCTCGTGGGCGTCCTTCTCAGTGGTTGCTGCCACATTCCCTCCGGCTCATTTCACTGCTGGTCCTTGAATCTAGAGTAGAGCACAAACTTCTTTACCTGTTGCCAGTTTGTCTCCTTCTTCTGTGAACACTTGTGGTGGACAAGCCCTGAGTGTTGACTGGCTGATCGATGAAGTGTGTGCTTTGTGTTTTACTCCGAGTCTTTGTCTTGCCTGGCTCATCCTTCCTGTAGCTCTTCTCCTGCCAATTCCCTGCCTACTGCAAGATTTGGCCGGGGGAGCTCACGATGTTCTCTGGATGGTGTACCCTTTCCCCTCCAAGTAAACATGCAATACACCTCTGCTGAGTGCTCCTCCCTCTCCTCCTCTAGGACATCTGCCAAGTTCCTGCTCACCTGGGTCTTCTGCTTTTCCTGGGTTTCCTCAGCAGAGCCCTCCAGATTGGAATTGTTGACTGGGTTCTGTGTGTGAAGCTGTCTGTCCCAGCAGCTCCTTTCACCCCACATCCCAGCCCAGGCTCTGGCACCACCAGGCTCTCCAAAAACAAAGGTAGCACAGGTGTGAGAGTCACCCATGCCCACTGACAGCAGCTCTCGCTTGCTCCTAGGGCAGCAGCGTTCATGGAGCAGAAGGGATGCCAGGACCCCACGTGGACAGATGTACGTCAGCCTCAGCACCGCCAGCCGACACGCAGATAGCAGCCAGGGGTAAGGCAGCTCAGCCGGGCCCGCTCCTGCCCAGCCTGGGGCAGAGGGCAGCATCTCCAGCTCCATAGTCCTGAGAGCTCAGAACTGGAGGCCCAGGGATGGGGCAGGAGGGCCTGAAGGCAGATTTAGGCTCCTCATTGCGCGTGTCCAGTTGCTGTGCTCTTTGAGAGCTCGTATGTTGCACTGAACCCCTTGGGTTTCGTCCCCCCAGATCGTCTCGATCTGGGTTACTAATAGTGCTGCCTTGTGACCCATCTTCCAAGATGTGTTCTGTACCATCTTTGTTGCTGCGGTGGTTCGATAATTAGGTAAATCCAGTACCTGCACAGGACTTGCTAGAGGCTTGGATGTGTTGAGCTGAGCACAGTGGTTCTGAGAGGCAGCGGGCAAGGTGGGCCCTCCCACAACGACTCAGCACCACGGACCTCTGTAGGCTGAGGTTCCATGGCCTAGCAGGTAGGAGGCCTGGGACTGTGGGATGATATTAGCGCCTAGCTCCCTATGGGATTTTTTTTTTTTTTTTTTTTTTTTTTTTTTTTTTGGCGGAGCCAGGGATTGAACTCAGGCCCTTGCACTTAACAGGGAAGCGCTTATTCTACTGAGCCATCTCCCCAGCCCCTATGGGATGTTTTGAGGATTAAATACTCTGATGAAGAGAAGGCCATTAGCAGAGTGGGTGTCGAGTAGCTGGCCCTGCTCAGCTGGTGGGCGCAGAGTCCTGTAATGTGCAGAGCCTCTTCACATCACTGACTCACAATCATCTGCAGAAGTTTGGGCAGTGGCCGTTGTCTCCGGCTCAGAAGTGCGGAGACTGAGGCTCTGAATGATTAAGGACCAGGCTCAAAGCCCTCAGGACAGCAGGGCTGGGGACTCGAGCCTGGATCCTGCAACCCTGGGCCAGACTTGGTGTTCCTGCCTGAGGCCTCTGTGTCCACCTCCCAGCTCAGCTTTGCCCAGAGCGAGGCGTGAGCCTCCCTGCCAGGGCTTGAAGAGCAACAGGGAAGCTTGCGCTGTTTTTGTGATCACCGAGGTAGTTCCAAGTTCGTTGTATGCCTTGTACCAGTGGCGGCAAACCTATGGCTCTGATGTTACTGTGTTTGTTCTAAAACAAAGATGTCAGTGTATGAGCTGCGTTTGCTAAACTAAAGCCTCAGTGTTCAGGTTTAATTGCAGTGTTGGCACTTTGTGGTAGTGGGTTCGGGGTTTCAGTTCGGATGCTCCTCTTTAAAAATCACTGCCCTACACACCACTGCAAAAACACTTTGGATTTTGATGTGGAAGAGAAAGGGGACTCTCACCTTGCAGGTGGGAATGTGGACGGTAACCCTCACCTCTGGCACTGCAGTGTATCTGCTTTCACAAGTCAGGGTGTGGTGGAGCTGCCAGTTAGCAGCTTGCGTTTATGTCATGGAATGACAGCTCCTGGATCTTTCCCAGGCCAGAGGCTGACCGATGGGGCAAGGGCAGTGAGCATGGGGGCAGAAGGTGCTCCCTGGTGCCAGCCGCCCTGGCCTGCCTTCCTGGCTGTGTAGGTGTTTCTGGCCGGCTGGCTGGCTGGGCATTTCAGCAGCAGGGGAGGCGGAAGTGCCTGGTGTGTGGAGCAGGCCGCTCTCCTGTTTGTTAGGATAAGGTTTGCAAAATGGGGCCCTGCGCAGTAGGAATTTCCTGTTGGTTCTTAGGAACTCTGTCTCTGGAGAGGGGAGTCCTGAGCTGAAGGCTCTGGGCTGTGCTGAGAAGAATGCAGTGGATCCTGCTGATGTGAGGTGGGAATTCCTCCTGAGTGCTGTGGACACCATGCAGGGGACAGCTCTGCTGGCCTCAGAGGTTAGCCTTGAAGACTTTAGCCTCTGTTGACTGCCTGAGGCACCGCTGCCTGGGTGGGGGACACACAGCCTTGAGAGGAGTCTGGATCAGTCTGCCCTTAGTCTTGCCCTTCATGTCCCCTGTGGGACAGCCTGGCTCTGACTCAGTTTCCCTTTGCAATAGCCACAGGACGGAAGCTCTTTTTTGATCCTTTTAAAACTTATCTGTCAGGCCTCAGGCAGGAGAGCACATAGGTTGGTGTGTGCACCTTGGGACCTTGCAGAAAGGTTGTTTTGGGGGCAAAATTGACCTCAGGGTGGGTTCTGCAAAGAGACAGTTGAGGCTCGGCAGCCTCGTTCAGTGGCACCAGCAGGGTCTGGTCAGATCCAGCCAGAAGTGACTTCTCAGGGGCTCCTGGTCTTTGTCAGCCAACAGCCTTCTCAGGCTTCTTCTGCCCCCCCCCCCCCCCCCGTTTCCCTTTCCCCGTTCCCAGCAGCGTCTGCCTCTCACAGGGGACCCACCTGGCAGAGCGCCTTTGGAGTGGCCCCTCTGAAGATGGCACCTTGTGTCTTGACTTTGTCTCCTCTCCTGAGCATCTCTAGTGCCACCTTCTGAGTGCCGGGTCACTGCAGGTCCCTGTATGCATGGTGCTCGGCCGTTTGGTGGTCAGGTCTTTTTGGAAATGTGGAGTGCGAGGCCCCGGGTAGGATCTTGGACCCAGGTCCTGCAGCTTACACATGGCAGACAGGACTGAGCCAGCTCTGTGTGGTTGGCCGCCTGCGCTCTTCTTCACTCTGCCGCTCCTTTTTCTCTATATTCTCAGGCCTCAGAGTCACTTACGGACCTTATCAAAAATTCTGTGTCCCTCACCCACACTGTAGACCTGGACTCATCCCTCAGTGGTTGGGTCAGGAGCCTGCACCTCGCAGAATGTCCCTGGCAGCCCAGCTGGCGGCCTGCGGACCACACTGGGGATGCTGGCTGGGTTCACCCTTGAGTCTTGGCTCTGGTGAGTGAGGCAGTCTGCTGCCCACTCTATGCCTTCAGGGGAGCAGGGCTGCTCTCCCCCCAGCACCAGGGTTGGATGCCCTGATCTATTTTTATTTTTTGAGACAGGATCTCACTGTGTCGCCCAGGGTGGCCTTGAACTTACTCTGTAGCCCAGGTGGGCCTTGAACCCACAACAGTGCCCCTGGCTCTGCCTCCCAAGTGCCGGAATTACAGCCTTGTGCCACCAGGCTCTGCTTGGATGTTTATTTTTTACGTGTGTGTGTGTGTGTGTGTGTGTGTGTGTGTGTGTGTGTTGTGGAGCTCTTATCCTTCCCTTGTCAACAGTGTTCGATGTTCGGGCCGAGCTACCTAAAAAAACTTTCCCTCCCAGCTGCATGCGTTCCCTGCTCGGCTCCCAGTGTCTGTCAGCTGCATCCCCCCTCACAGGCAGCAAGTTCTCGTGTCTGAATGTCTCTTGAGAGCTTGAAACCTCAAAATTAAATTGCCTGCTGCAGTATAATCTCACGCCTGGAGTGGCATTCTCCTGGAGTAAAAGCGGCTGTCAAATTCCACAGCTTTCTTGTGCCACCTGGACACCTTGGAGACACAGCTTCCAAACCCATGCCTTCCACCGGCTGGTGTGACCAACGCGCTATGGGCTATGGGGTGCATCAGGTCCTTGTGTCCCCGAGCTGGCTCCCTGGGTTCCTGCTCCCCTCAGTGAGTCCACCTGCCCACTGGGCGCGGACCACTGCCCAGCCCCCTGGGACCTCAGTGGAAGACCAGATCACAGCCTCTCTCGGGCGTCTGCGTCCTCACTGTGGAGCCCGTGGGAAGGTGCTTTGGTGTTCGGGATCTGTCCTCAAGGTTCCTCTACCCCCAGGGACCCAGACCTGGGTTCCCTTCCAAAATTTCCTAACCTTGAAGACTAGAGATTTCCCAGCCTGGCCCTCTAGGGGTCCCTGTTCCAGGACCTCTCAAGAACTGGAGGGGGCCCTGGAGACCTGTTTGCCTTAGTGGCAGGTTGGCACAATGGTCAGATCTGTTGTGGATCTTCCCACCCTCTTCTAGCTGGGTGGTCTTAGCCGGGTCTTCACTGGGCCTCAGACCTTACATTGTAAAAGGTACATGAAAACTTCCATCAGAACAGCAGCAGTACTCAAGGTTGAGATAAGAGGGTCGCTGTGAGGGCAAGGCCAGCCTGGGCTACGTAGCAAGACCCTGTTTTATTGTTTTTAATTTTTTTTTTTTTTTAACAGTACCGAGGATTGAACTCAGGACCTTGTGCTTGCCAGGCAAGCACTTATTTTACTGAGCTATCTCCCCAGCCCACAAGACCCTGTTTTAAATAAAATAAGAATAGCAGCAAACTGCCAGGTTCAGTGGTGCATCTCTGTAGTCCTACTTACTGTGGAGGCTGAGGCAGGAGGGTTATAGGTTTGAAACCAGCTAGCATAAGATAACAAGACCCTGTCTCAAGCAAAATAATAGGAACAGCAAACATGACAGAGTGTTGCTGCGTGGCAGGTACTGTCAGGAAGGTTTTTGGGGACTACCTTATTCAGGCCCCACCCCAGGCCTCTGGGGAATAGACTTGTCTGGCTTCTGGGTGGGGAAACCAGAGCCCTTCTGGATAGTGACTTTCCCCAGGTCGCGCTTGTGAGTGAGAAGCTGCCTTCCTGGTCCTCCTGGGAACGGGGAGCAGAGGCACAGGACACACTTGGGCCTGAGCTAAAGCCCGCATGCTGCTCTTGTTTTCTGAGCTCAGGTCTCCAGCAGGGGAACCCTGGGCTGGAGGGGTGTCCCTTACCTGTCGCTCTTCACCCAGGAAGGCAGGCCACACCTTGGCAGGTATCCACAAAGCCGAACCTGTTTGGAAAACCTAGCCCAAACGAGAGTTGTTTGGGACTGATACTAGCCCCTGTCCCGCCCTGTGTGCCTGTCTCCCTGCAGCCTTCCCCAGGAAGTGAGGGTGTGCCCTTCTGTGTGTGCAGGGCAAGTCCCCAGCCTGAAGCACCCCCAGACCGCAGCCTCTGACTCACCCGTTGGGGGGGCCTGGGGGGCAGTGCCTGCTCTTGGGTGTGTGAGGGCTCAGTGTGCCAGATGTGGCTGAGACCTCCCGCTCCCCTTCCTGGCTCTGGGACTGGAGGAAGCACGAGGTCTGGAGATTCATAGCCAGCCCCCAGTAGGGCCAGCGACCTCAGGGAGCCCCCTTCCCTGGGAGAGTCCAGGGGGGCACAGCTGTCCCATCTGGGCTGGAAGAAGGACACCAGTCTCCCACAAACCCTGCAGCTCTGTTTGTGCTTTAACAAAAGACTTTCTGTGCCTGTCTCCTGGCCACCTCCTCAGGGCCTGCTGCCCAGGTGTGGGCGCTGCCTGGCCTCTGAAGGCCTGTGGAGGGGCCTGTTGGGTGGTCTCCCTCCGGACAGAAGGAGCAGCATGTCATTTCTTTGACTCCCTTTCCTGGCTGAGAGATTAAGAAAACTTTTTTTTTTTTTAAAGCTGGCGGAGGTGACACATGCCTGTTGTCCCAGTTACTTGGGAGGCTGAGGTGGGAAGATTGCTAAAGCCTCGGGCTTCGGGAGAAGCCAGTAGTAAGAACCCTTCTCCTTCTCCTTTTTTTTCTGTACTGGTTTAGGAACTCAGGACCCTGCACTTGCCAT